GGGGGGCAATTGCTGAAAAATTTCCTGGGGAAGTATAGCCCGTGGGTAGGTATAAAGAAAACAAAACAAAACAAAAAACGCCAGGATTAATTGAGACCAGGAAGTTAAATTATGACAAAAGCGATTCTGGTGTCAGATGGAGTGGTTGATTGTGAACTTGTACGTCAAACTGCTTGATAAGAGATGGTTTGTGGGTGGTTGGCGGGTGCTCTGGTGTGGTTTGCTTCTTCTTTCCTATCAAATATATATCGTCCTTCTCCCCTCCTCTTTCTTTTTTGTGTTTGTTACTCTCTTGTAACACTTCTAATCTTCTGGCGCTCATATGACCTTGTGCAGTTGTGAGAGCCGTAAAACCTCTACTAGGTTGGGTGCTTTGGTAGTGGCTTGCTTTCTTCTTTCCTATCAAACATCTATCGTCCTTATCTCCCCTTTTTCTTTTTTAAGTTTGTTACTCTCTTGTAACACTACGAGCCTGCCACGGCCGCGGACAAAAGCCCAAAGAGGAAGTGCTATATCTTGGTACTTGGTGTACACCAAGGAGATTAAAAGTAATTTAGTTCTAAACTCCTTGGTATACACCGTCTTTGATCTTACCTACCCTAAAATCAGGGGTGTGGCTGGAATTTGAGCCAAGGAGTAGAAAGGCTGCATAAAGTAGGCCTACTTTTTCTTGAATTACACACGTTTAAGGTTAAAACAGCCAATCTTCGGATAGGGAGACACGCGCCCTTATTTGTTAATTTTTGTGGTTGTTTATCCGTTCTGTTCTAATTTTGATTCCATTCTATAGTGAAATCTTTATTTTTCACGTTTTTACCCAATGGGAGACTTAAATGATATTCTGGATGCTTAAAACAGAGCACAAGAAATCATGGTGCTTCAGATGCTAGGTAGTCGTGTCCCCAACTCGATAAGTTCATTGAAACCAACCAAATGTTTAGCCTACTTCGTTGTATTGACTGTTTCAAAATTTGGCACGTATTTGGGGCGAAGCTTTTTTATAGAGTAAGACTCTAGGTCTTGTTTGTTTGTTTGTTTAGTATAGGGTTTTACGGCGCTCGCAACTGCATAAGGTCATATGAGCGCGCGGGACACATCTAATACTTTTTCGTTGGTAGGAAATTTTGAATTTTGCCCGGGTGGCGGCCGAAGCCTACTCTTATCGATTTTAGACCACCAAGGGATCTTTAACGTGCGCAACTTGCACACGGGCCCTCCGAGATTTTTCGCCCTTGTCCGAGAAGGCTAGGTGTAGATCTTACTCTAGGTCTGGATCTGATTCGTTCCATGCAGTTGGAGCACAGAAGTCAAGACTGATTTGGAGTTGTAAGCAAGAACAGAACTGTTGTGCGTTGTCGTATGTGTGGCACAGAGTTCTACTTCGTGTGTACAAAGCTTCTTCTACTGTTTTCAGATCTAGAATCTCGATATTTAACTCTTTGGATCTTCACAGTGTCGATGGGTACTCCAGGTCAAACTTCATTTCATTGACTTTTTCTCAATATCGACTATTAATCAGAATTTACGTTCGAATAGTGATAATCTGGACGGAGACCTTGAGTGTGCTCGGCCAAGAAAGAATAGGTCAACGTTGGCCTTAGCGTGCAACGCACTGTTCTTTAGTAAAACTGAAGTTGATCGGAGATTACAGACACATGACTGTGGTGAATTCAGTGTCGTCTGTAAATTTGCAATATCATAAGATGGAGAGAAGAGAGAAACTCATTGTGTGGTCAAAATGGCAAAGTTAGTATACCTGTACCTCCCGCACCTCAGCACCTCTTCAGGAACTAACAAAGTATTACGATGTAACACTGTACATGTATGTCATACAATAAGGCTCTCGCCCTTGTTTCAATTGGATTCAGTGAAGAAGCTGAACACAGAGCTTCAATCCAACCTTCACAATCCTGGGAAACCTGTACCACCGATTAGGAAATCTTCTTCCCACTGCTGGACAATTAGATCAGCTTTTGCAATGACTGCCAACAAAGCAGAAAAGGATAGGTTTTTTTGACAGGGTGATTTTTTTTCTCATGGACAATTAATTGTACGTCGCAATGAGTGGTGTTGGGTCCAGGGACTCTATTAGAATACATGCAAACATTCCTGCTGCCCAGGACGGAGTTCCAGATGGCGCATGTTATACCAGCAAAATGTCTACACTGAGGTCCTACGGCAATGAATGCGTTACAAACATTTTATCTTTGGATTTCCTTCCACTATAATATCATCGTTCGGAGAACGGGTCTGTATCTTATAATAATAATAATAATAATAATAATAATAAATAATAATAATAATAATAATAATAATAATAATAATAATAATAATAATAATAATAGCAATAACAATTATAACATTAATAATGATAAAATAATAATAATAATAATAATAATAATAACAATAATAATAATAATAATAATAATAGAGTCAAAGGGGATTCTAGTTCATAGTTGGTTCATATTCGAAACGTCATCCATTTGCCAATACATGTGTATTTTACTTCTATTCAAGATAGGTGGGTATTTCTTTCAACAAAAGCAAGCGAAAGGAGCAAGTTGTAAGATGAAACCAATAACTCCATAATATGCCACAAGATTTGACGAGCTCCTGATTTCACCGTGTCGCGACACAATTACTTTGTAACAGCCCCCCCCCCCCCTCCCCTTCCTTTACACACACACACACACACACACACACACACACACACACACACACACACACACACACACACACACACACGCACGCACACACACACGCACACACACACACACACTCACACTCACAAAGACACACGCATGCACATTATCGCTTTCTCTCTCTATCTCCCCCACCCCTCTCTCTCTCTCTCTCTCTCTCTCTCTCTCTCTCTCTCTCTCTCTCTCTCTCTCTCTCTCTTTCTCTCTCTCTCTCTCTCCTCATTTTATACCCCTACTTTCGCCATCCCCACCCCCTCCCCCACTCTCACTCACACACCACTGTAAACATTTTAATATAATGTGAAAGGGCTGAAATATGGTAGTGTCAAGAAACAATATTATGATTAATGTATGATGGAAGTTACTGAGTTAATAGAAACCGACGTGAACGGCATAGAAAAAGAAACACTACTAAAGTCTATGCTAGAAAACAAACTGAAAGAGAGAAGCACAATAAACAGCTGGTCATGGCCTCCGGTACTTTTACTTTCTACACACCCACACACAATACCGACGTGCACTCGACTTGTAAATATGTAATAAGAACAGTACTGTATGATAGCAAAAAGTCAATTGATACTGTACCAATGACGCTGTCCCATGCAGATTAAGTCTACGATCAGATACTATAAAAAGCTGGACAAAGTTAGGGCACAACAGTTTTCCGTCATTATGTAATCAAACGTTCTTCATCACACTTCTCTGTTCTAAGAACACTGTTGTAACAAAGTGGGGAAGAGTGTCAAATGCTTATTATAGAACTTGGTGTCTATTTGAGGTGACGGAGGATAAGGGGAGATAAGGGAGGGGGTAGGCCCTTTGTTTTCGGCCCAGACTGACAGCCGAGAGCCTATCGCTCCTCGTTATAATTCTCCATATTATTATATATCTTCACTAGACGATTCCTCTCTTCGCCGGCTACACTCATATGGCCAGGTACGTTATTAGTGGGGAGAAAGCGATGAATAGTCACCAAACAGGAACCAAAGGTGGCTAAAAATTCAATAAACAAAAAAGATTAGTGCCATGCTGACAATAAATGTTCTGATGATAGTTAGAGAAAGGCTGAATCATAAGTTCATGTATTGCTGACGAAATATTTCATGTGTCTGTGCTGCTCCAGACTCAAGACAGTCTCATTACCGATTTTGTAAGCAACACGGAGGCCAACTTGGCAATCAAGGGATGTTTATATTCGCTCTTTGTAGTCTCTGGGCAGTCGATGGATTTGTCCCATAGATGTACACTATAGGCACTATAAAAGGAGATAACTCTATGATTTGTCCACCCGCCGTGTTCGTTTGTCCTTGTACGAAGTTCCGCGACGTGACGGCTTGACGAAAGACGATTTAAAGTTACGAGCCGGTGCGATAAACAAAGGTGACGGAATGAGGCTCTGTCGCGACAAAACAGCAGTGAATCCCACTTGTCTATTTGAACGCCTTCAAATCGGCAAGGTGCTTTTGTATATTGATACATGT